TGTCAGTACCTCCCGAGAGGAACCAGCTCTCTATGACAAGACGTCATAGCAGTGTTGAATGCAAGCTAGTGCTCCCTTACATGTCTGGGTGTCGGTCCTACATTGGCTCTTTACGATATGCACCTTGCATGATTACCCAATGTACAGTATCTTACATTACAGGGCACTGGCCGACTGTGCACACCCATGTTCGTATCTCTCGGTCTTGACTGGCAATTGACATTAAGCTTTTGGAATGATCAACTGTTGTTGAGAATCCCTGCACAAAATCAGAATACAGATAAATAAACTGCAGAGTACGATGGGTAATATTTTCATTGATTAATTAAGAAGCAGACAAAGCAAGCATAATGGACAAAAATCATAGAAATGAAGAAAAGCACACATACACACGTGCATACGAATAAACTGCAACACATACAGACAATGCACAACAGATATCAAACAAAGCACAGCAACAAGTAGGCTCAACATCTAACAACGTGTTGTTTTTGATCGTTACAGGAAAGAAAAAGTATTTTTTGCTTTTTTTGCAAGAAAACACATGCCATCTGGAGTCTCTCTCAGATTGGTGTTGGTTGAAATGACCAGCTAATTTGTCTATTCTTGTTCTCTCTCCCTGCGGTCTGTCTTCGTTCCATGTCACCCTTGTCTTCGTTACGTCAGATGTTGACATTTAAGGTAGGTTGTCACATAAATCATGTTTTGCCTTTCCTGCATGGTGAAATTATTCTTGGAGGTGTGTACAGTAACAACGTCTGCTTCTTCCAGGCTCTGATTCCTCCCCCACACCCAAACCCCACTTGTGCATTCCCACCATGTCCTGTTTTATCACCAGTCATTCTTATTGCGTGAAGTCAATGGAAGAAACTGCATCTTTTAGCATTTGCTAATGGTTTTATTTCCATTCGGTGATGCTGAAAATGAGGTTCTCATTTGTGGCAGTCTTGGGCACAGGGCCCTTTGCTGTATCATTACAAAGACATGGTATCTTTATCTGTGATAAAGAACCCGTGTGGTAATGGAAAGTAGTTGTAGATGGCATTTGATGAGCTGGCGACTGACCTGCGATGAGGCAAATAGATGATGTTGTTGAAACAGGTTTGGCATCTGCACCAACTTGTACATTTATTGTAGTAGAATGAGGCATTGTCATCTCACGAGTACGAGTGCAGACAATTTTCCATGCGGTTGGAAAAAAAGACATGTAGTTTGTAAAAAGGTCTAATTTCTTCCAGTATTGTGACGTCAATTCAACGTGTTCATCTTCTTGTGGACTGAAACGTGTTATTAGTCAGCAGAATGAAAGCACTATCAATATTTACATGGAAATAACGTGTTGAAAATCAATGCATGATGACATTTAAAGAACACCAACGGATGACCATTAGGGCATAAAACAGGCACAAAAAATTGTAAGAAGGTTGTCTGTAAATCACAGGCAGACTAATAACCTTTTAATGATATATTCATGTGATTGGCGTTGTTAAGGGAATTTGTGCTCCAAGGGACTTGTACCCAAAAAGTCAATTGTCATTCCTTTTGTATGGTTCCCAAGAAATGACCACATCATCTGGTATTTTCTACTCTCTAAGTAGATGTTGGGAGGATAGATTGTGTTCTGACTCCCCCATTTGCTGCAAGATTTGTAATCTTACATTGCTATCCTTCCTGTCTTTATCTGCTTAAACATCATGCATTTATCTTTTTTGAACCCACATGTACATACACGTCATCACCTTTCATGGATCTGACCAGTTCATCAAAACTATTTTTACCATATCCAAGCAAAATGGGATTCAAGCTAATGTGCATCAATATTACGTATTGAACGAACAGATGTTTGTGATATAAATGGGATTTTAGTTCTTTCCCAAGCCATCCCTTTCCCAGACAACATTCTTTTTGTGGCCATAATCCATATCATGTGCCTTCAATCTGAAATACCATCAGCACCATGGATAGATATGACCTTTCCGTGTATCCGATATTGTGCTATAAAAGTTTGCATGGGTGTTAATCTATGTGATCTAAATGTGATTTTAGTTCTTTCCCCACACACTCCTTGTCCACACAACAGTCTTTTTGTCAGGTGAACGTATTGCATGTGCCTTAAAACTGTTAGAGTTAAAACAACAATACCACCAGCACCATGGACAGATGACTTTCCCTTGTTAGCTAATGTTGGTTTTGGGAGGGCTGAGTGCTTTTACACCTACATTGATGTAATATCAGCCTTGCAGAATTCACACAGCAATGCCATCAGCACCAAGGACAGACATGACTTTCCATGCATCACAAACTATTTGCTGTCAGAGCTATGTGTTTTGACACCTACTGTTTTACAGAGTTAACACAGCAATGGTGTCAGCACTAAGGACAGACATGACTTTTACATGCATCACAAATTGTTTGTTTTCAGAGCTATGTGTTTTGACGTCTACTGTAGAAAGGGGGTGAAACATAGCAAATTTTGATGTAATGCCAGGATTAACAATCTATTCCAATTGGGATTACAGGCAGAAAAATTCAGCCATAATTGATGTTAAACTGGTCAGGCATCTAGGTAGTCTGAAAGATTAACGAGTGAAACACCTGTCACGACACCAGACTTTGTTTCAAAATTTAAATTGGTCAGCTGTTATAAACCGTCACTTTGCATTACATACACACGCTAAATATGCCCTTCTTATAGCCTTACTGCCATCTTCCCAATAGTTCAATACCTCAGGGGAACATTGAGAACTCCCCTTGAGAGTGACCTGTCTGAACACAAATGAGGCACATCTTGCTGCTGGTAAATTGTTGGCGCACTTCCTGTTTTCCGGGGCAGTAAAATAACGGAAGGAGGCTCTCTTGTTAAACTAATTTGTTCCCACAGGATTTCCCTGGTTGTTAGGGAAGTTAGCACTTGGGCCTTGGCAAACGGAAGTGTAGTATACCCTGAGGATTCGAAAGAAAAGATTGTTGATGTAGCCCACACAAGACATTGTGGGCTGACGACATAGGAAGGGGTGAAGCTATCGGAGTCAGATTCTTCACCATTATCTTCATACTCCTGAGTCCTAATACAGCCATCTATTATTCCTCCCTCCCTTCCTCCCTCGCCCTCACACATCCGGATGAGGGTGGCAAAAAGAGAGCCACAGTTTTACTGTACATGATATTTGACATGCTGGCTGCAAAATCATTCAGCTCAAGACCGGTGAAAGCCGCCGTTTCAAGTACTTCGAATGATTTTAAGAAATTAGAATGGTCAGTCATTCTGCTGTAGTACAGATCTTGATTAAATTATCCTCTACTACCAACTGTTCTGATCACTTTGCAGAGTCTAGAGCATATATTTCAGGCCTCATACTTCAGAGGTGATTTACCTAGTACTAAAAGGAAGATGCAGGTGTCTTCACAGATGTGTTTACAATATTCCTCAGACACTGAGTCCCACAAACCAAAGACATAATCATTTAAGTCTCCAATGCCCTTGATATGTTTGGAGAGATTTCCTTGGAAGAATAATACCAGATACATTCATTTATCTTACAAGTATACATAATTTTTTTATTATAGCTTATTCGATTGCAGACAATATCTAAAGGTTGTCTGTGACCATTTTATTGATATTTCAAAGAATTACCTGGCTTGTTCCACTTGCAAAATCCTCTAAACATCCGAGTTATGGTACCCATGTCCTTCCTAAGTTGATTGTGCCCTCCCTTATCAATGGTGTGTCCTTACAATCACCTTATCTACCCCGGTCACATGCTGGATTCTGTCTCGCTTCATTCCTGTACGATACGCTGGAGTCGGGCCAAGATCCGCCATCTCTCATTTCCTGGTCTTGTACCATATTTGGTCACCTGCATCCCCCCGTTCCCTGCAGCTTTCCTCAACTCACCTTGCCGTTGCCCTTCCTGAATACCAGCCGTGCATCCGTCCATCGCCATCCCTAATCAGTTCTGTCTGAGTATATTCATGATTGCCTGCCTGTGTTATCTTGTACCTTCCGGCTGTCCTTGTAAGCATGGAGCCGTGCCCACTGACTTTGTTTATAGGAGCGGACAGTATCGATAGCTGCGAAGTTTCCAGTAAATGTCCCTCAGGGGGAAGGTTGTTGTGTATGCATTAATTATCTTCTCCCTGCTGCATTGCCCCTAACCAGTTGAATATGGTGCCAATAGGCTAACTCCGCAGAAAGAAGGTTAAGATTTGAAAAATGTACTGCCTATAGTGTTGATCATAGATTTTGTTTTTCAGTTGCAGGGGTTATCATAATGTGAAAGGACTCATCAAACAACATCACACAACATCCAACTTATCATACAGAACATTTCTATCTATACATTCTACTGTTGTACATTACTTTCATCTGCAGTTGTGCAGGTTATCACAGTAAAAGTAATCATCAACATCACATAGCATCCAGCCTATTCCCCTCATATCTTCACACCCAGTTGAACTGCATGCCTTCCAGTAAGATACGCTCTAGGGTCTATGGCAAAGGTTCAATATAAGCATTGTTCCGGACCTTTCATGCACGATGGTTTGAAAATAGATTATCAAACTTTCAGACATAGATGGATATACAACACCTCAAGCCATTGTAATGGTTAGATTCAGGTCAAGGAGCATTTTTCGATTTTTCTTTGAGTAAAGCAGATTAATGAGTCTGACTTATATTTTGACTTGAGGGTGACAATTTTAGGAAGCCAATAATAACGTATATTTATGATTGGGGCCATTTCCTGTTAATCTTTGATAACAGATTATAAAAAGATGCCAGTTATGAGGAAAGTATATAATTTATTAGATTTTGCAACTTTTGAAACCAATCAAAACAGTATCCACAGAATAGATTGATTTTGATTAGACTTATGTTGAAATACAATTGGAACTTTTTGCTAATATGAGTATAAAATAATAACAAGTTACAAGACCTGCCATAACACACAATGCCATGAAACAACATACTGGTAACACCTTGTTTTAAACAAAATCATGTCAATGCAGCTTCAAATGTATTTCATGCAGATCTTCAACTTTGCAAGTGCCGTGATTCGCATCTTCAACCTGATTTGCATGATGCTGCTGATTGGGCACTGGAACGGGTGTCTCCAGTTCCTCGTACCCATGCTGCAGGACTTCCCCGAGGATTGTTGGGTCACCAAGAACGAACTGAAGGTGAGCTCAGATGCTGGGGCATATTTTTGAATGTTAACTGATACTGTAAATCACTTAATGTTGGTGGTAGCAAAAGTGCGCGGTCTGAGAAAAATGGATTTGTTTGTGGAACTATATGTTCGCAGTGGTAGCAGGTGCAGCATAAAAAAGTCGATGAATTATTTGTTCATGGCAATCATAAGTTCGAGGTAAAGATGTGACCATGAAAACTGTGAATATAAAAGTACGTCAAAAAATTGATTTACCTAAGGGTTAGGGTTATTGTTTCATGAAATCAGCCACCAAAGGAGGAAAGAAATGCTATATTATACCGCCACTTCAAGGGCTTCCTAGGACTCCATAAACAATGCTTGTAGTGTAGTACCAAAGAGAGCCAACCCATACCAAGATTCTGTGCATTGTTTTGAAAACACCTAATATAACAAGACATTAGTGAAATAAAAAAATCTATTTTATGTCTATTCTACATGTATGTCATGTAAAGGCTAGTCTATCTTTTTTGTAAAAGTTATAAAATTCATTCACACTCACTCACTGCACGGCTTAACGTCCGTTGTTCCCCGTCATGCAAGGGTTGGACGTCGTGGGGTGTCGTTTAGGTCGAAAATTGCAGTATTATACAGTACCTGGTAACATTGTCTGTAGTGCATTTCAAAGTATATATCTTGATGAAATTTAACTATGATTCCGTCAACTGTGTATCAATCATTTGCTATCTTGGCATGTTTGTCAGGATGCCCACTGGGCAACTCAGTACACCTGGGCCCTTTTCAAAGCCATGTCGCACATGCTCTGCATCGGGTACGGCAAGAGACCCCCGGAGAGCATCACAGACCTGTGGCTCACCATGGTCTCCATGATCTCAGGAGCGACGTGTTTCGCTCTGTTCATCGGCCACGCCACGAACTTGATCCAGTCCATGGACACGTCTCGGAGACAGTACCAGGAAAAGGTCAGAGATCAATACCAATCAATACCAATCTTGCTTCCAGCCGGATTGGCTCTAGACTATCTCAGCAACTGCCTAACTCAAAATGCAAAGTTACAATTGGAGTTCCTTTTCCCACCTCCTATCTATCAATCTTGAACACGCAGTGTGGTAGTCAAAGATAAGGTGATACATGGGGTGCATTACAGGGTTTTCCTATAAGCCTTAGAATTTCAGATTTGACCTAATTCTAATCTCTATCAGTACATTACACATGTACATTGCAACTTCAATCTGTCAAGATTACAGAAGGGCCATACCCTTTTTCCTTGATACCATCAAAAAGATGCCATCAAATGATGGAATGATAGGAAAATCCTGGTGCAGTATCAGGAACACAGTTGCACAGCTCTGTGTGTTATAATTTCAGACAAACTTTGAAAACCAGGAAATTTGAGCATTTTCATTATCTTATTTTCTAAAAGAAACACTTACTCTGCAGTTTAAAGCCAGCCTGAAAGGCAAGACAGGTTGAAAGCACCTTTGTTGAGTCACACATTGTTTTCTGATATGTTTACCTTCGCAGAAAAAAAAACATTGTTTTTGCTCGGTTTCTTCTTCTTCTTCCTTCATTCCAAACAAAAAGTCAACAATTAACCTGGAACTGATGGCTGTTGCCATGGTAACTAGTGCTGTAGCAGACACCCTGTAGTGATGGGTTGCATTATGTAACAATGGCAGGAAAGAGTTGGAGAGGCTGCTTACAATACAGTCATGTATTTGATTAAGAATAAACAGAGCAGTAGCTTGGTGGGCTAGACCAGTTGAGAGTAAACATCATGCATGCCATTTGTATATTCTGTTTTCAGTTCAAGCAAGTTGAAGAATATATGCAGTACAGAAAGCTACCTGTTCACCTGCGCACAAGGATTCAGGACTACTACGAGTACCGGTACCAGGGTAAAGTGTTTGACGAGGATAACATCCTGGAGGAGCTTTCCATACCGCTCAGAGAGGTAAGCCCATTGTATCATAACTTAAAAACCCAGGACTGAAATGAAATAAAAGGTTAACACAGTTTTTGACATTTGATCTGTCTCATACCATCTACTCAGAGACACAATACATTACAAGGATCATACTCTGAATTATAATAACTAAGCTAACATGGTACTCAATTATACTGCCATCAAAAGTCCCTATTACTTTCATCAAATCAAACTATGACTAACTTGATTATCTTGTCTTGTACCTAATTGCAGGAAGTGATCAACTACAACTGCAGGTCCCTTGTGAAAGCGGTACCTTTCTTTGCCAATGCTAACCCAGAGTTCGTCACCGATGTAGTCACCAAGTTGAAGTATGAGGTTAGTATTTCAGTATTAGCAAGCACTAATAACTTTCTTCTAAATGACTTGTTAGTTAATCCCCAAAGCTTATGATTATGATGGTGTTAAACTTTATTAATGATAACAGTTACCAGATATCCCACATAAGAAATTTGCAGGGGTCTGTTTACTTAAGTGCTATTTATCTACATGTCTTGGTAGTCCTTCGTCGCCGAAGATGACTACATACAATTATAAATTTGTGCTGGCAATAAATTTGAAAAACATTTTTTTCTGTATGTACGACGATCATACTTTTCTGGCATTCAAGTCACAGAATCATCTTCATGCTGCTGCACTGATTTTGGCGAGTGTTTACAAAAGACAATTATGTCTCTCTGTTATGTGTAGGTCTTTCAACCTGATGATTTTATCATCCGGGAAGGCACCTTCGGTGATAAGATGTATTTCATTCTTGGAGGAACAGTGGACGTGCTAACAGCTGACGGTGAGGTTGTTACCACATTGCAGGACGGCGCTTACTTCGGAGGTAGGAACAGACCTGAAGTGATAATCAATGCCTAGAAAACTGGCCACAGTAACCATTAAAAATGTGTATTATGGGTATATATCCAGAAATTTGTATTCATAGTTTCATTCAAAAATGTATGCATATTTAGTTTGACACATTCTGGCATTTTTGAAAACTGCTCTTCCTTAGGTCCACTACTGGATGGAGGTTGTTGAAAGGCTGCTGTGCTAGTGACAAATTGAATATGATCGTTGATGTGAAACTAAAAAAAAAGTCTTACAAAATGCACTTTTTAAAATGAAATTTGTTTGAATTCCTGATGAGATTTTTGACTGCTCAACAGTTAATCTATGGTGGCACCTCAGAGGAATGGGCTTACATGAGCCCATACCAGGATTATATTGACTAACAGGATTATATTGACTAACAGAACTAACAGCTTTAGTTACATGTAATATGCATTTACAGTCATCTTGCATAGCTGTGATAACATCACACCTGTCAGTGTACCTGCAATCGATATTGACGCGAAATCTCACATCTTACTTTGGCAGAAATTTGCCTACTGACACGGGAAAGACGGATGGCCAGCATCCGAGCGGAAACTTACTGCAACCTGTTCTCACTCCACGTCGACCATTTCAACGAAGTGTTGCGAGAATACCCCAAAATGCGTGAGCACATGGAGGAGGTGGCACAGGAGAGACTCAGCAGAATAGGTATGGGGAAAGTTTCTTACACTCTGTAGCTGTTCAAATGTATATAGCTTTAAAAAACATGAGTTAGGCCACAGCATGTAAATGTTATGGATGACATCTGCACACATGTGCACACATTGATTTTTTCCTGATTTTTACAGCAAAGAAAAATGCAATAAATTTTGTTCCTCTCCGGTGATACCTTGAGTGTAGGAGTGAAACTAAAGAGGTAGCTGTAGTTGTGAGACTAGTGAAGTACTAATATTGAATGTAGTTGCTGCAGTGTCATTTTCTGCACTGAATATAATACAGGAAACTTTTTGGCTGAAATGTTTTGTTGCTTCAATTCTTGCTATGTTTATGGTCTCCATTTTGAAGATCTAGGCATCTTTCTTTTTCAGTCTCACTCACTCCTATCTTATCAAATCTGCATGCTCAGATGAGTATTCAGGCATGTTGTGAAGTACTAAATATTCACATTAACATGACTGCCAAGTCTGTAACAAATACACTTGAAAAGATGTACTAACTGTGGTCAATATTTAGAGCAAATTCACACAGGTTTTGCATTAAATTGTTAACCTTCTAACTTAAAAGAAAAACAAGCAGAATGCTCTGTAAATCTATAATTTTGCACAAGTCCAATGTTCATACCCTCTTACATAATTCTTCCCTATTAATTACAGTAACTTTTCCCTCTCATAAACAAACTTGAATATTAATCTTATAGCTAAAGTTTCTTACTAGTTGTGCAAATAAGTCCTAAATTTGCATAATCTATGATTATTGCAGACTGCTTTCCCTTAAAGATAGCACATTAAAATCCCTTTGAAAACACTTTAATACAAACTTTAAGTATTAAAGCCTAATTGATTATGCAAATTAGGGTCTCATTAGCTTCATCTATTCATGCTCCATTTTTCTTAAATCAATATTACATTCATCACAAGTACAACGTTCCTGCCATGCAGCACAAAGGAATAAGAAAATATCAACACCCCCAACCACGTATGGTAGGTGCCACATTTCCCAGCATGCCGGCCCGTGACATCGCAACTCAATATGGCAGCGCCCATGGACGCTACCAAAAACAACACTAGTTGTTGCTACTGAAGCTGCTAAACCTGTAATCAAATAAAATGCCAAAAACAGCAGGTTACACTTAACATCTCTGGAGTAACTTAGCAATGGATAACCAATAATTAGAATGATCTAATTCATTTTGTTAAGTCATAGGCAAAAAATATATTCCACTCTTCCATATCTTTATTTCACCAGTTTTTCATGCTTCCTTATTTGCTGTTATAAACAGGATACAAATTTAAATGTCAATCCAAAATTTTACTATTTTTTGGTATTCGACAAGCCTTTGTCTAATGAACAAGATAATAAAGATCTGTATCTGCATCAAAATTCTGTTTGTAAGGATTATGCAAAATGCTGCCTTAAACAGAAAGCCAATGTATATTAGATTTGTATATATTAGATTAGGTGGGAAATGAACTTGTCTTCCCTTCTTCCAAACTTCAGGCAAATCTCACAGCAAACTGAGTCGGAGTAACCTGAGTCTGTGTGCGACTCCCAGCGGATCCGGCGGCCCCAGCGTCCCGCCCAAGGAGGTCATCACGGTCCCTAAGTACAAGAGCATCCGCATCATACCGACAGGGGACGTCCTGACGATCGATATTGACGACCCCGAAGACGACTACTCCAAACCATCTTGACCAAGCTGAGAGTGCAGCCAATTATCTTAGAGAGCCATGTTGATGTATAGATAATATCCCAGGGATTAGTCTTTGGCAGTCACTGTGAACGTAGGATGATGTCCGAAGCAAATGCTGTCCAATCTGTCTAGAAAAAGGTGTATAGTGTATGCTGAATGTAAGATACAAGATCTATACTGTCTGTCTCCTTTTGTTGCATGTAAATTAATGGCCATGAAGATTATCATAGTTTGATGGTTGGAGAGCAGAAAAAGAGGATAGAGATTGTGTGAACTAACCGGACTTAATTCACATGTACATCTGTTTATACTTGTCATGTAGTAAGCTTTAATAAATGTTCTTCCACACATTGTAACAGGTGGCTAGCAATGTGTGTTAAAAAAACACTGGTTCAGAGGTAATTTTTCTGTACAGGCCTCACATGATTCCGGATAATTGTTTGCCATTCACCATACAATGTTAAAAAATGTATCTGTACATGTAATGTAAAGAAGTGTAAAGCGTTTTTGTGATCCAGACACATTAAGTAAGAACATTTCATGCTTGTAGGAGGTATACAGTCTCCCTGGGATGAGGTTTTATCTTTACTGTTTAGAAGTTGATGGTAGATACACAAGGAGGTTGAAAACTCCATGAAAAAGGCCTTGATTTTTACATCTTTATGATGTCAGACGTCACAGATGAATGCCTTCTGCAGGCCAAGACAAGATGGTGTCAGAACAGTGACCTTTCAAGAGTATGTGGATTGAAACAAACTACATTACCCCAAAAATGATTGAGTTTTCTAGTATCTTTGTTAAAAATCATGAATGCCCACTACCTATCAATGTGTTGTTATTATCCTTTATGTTCTGTCCTTATGTCCAGAGTTAAACAAAGGCACAAGTATACTGAGTACACCAGATCATTGCTGTGTGAAACTAGTGAACTTAGTCATTTAGAGGAAACATATATAACTACTGTAGCATATCAAAGGTTTCAGGGACTTACACGCCAGCAGATATCACTTGTTTGGTTTGTTGTTAACGGTTGTGATAAGGTTATCTGTAGCATGTGTCTGTATATTGGAAAGCTATATATTAGGATGTACATGTATATCAATGGTGCAGAGGACTTGCCATGGGTAACCCATTAACAGCAGATTAGATGCATCTCTATTAGGGCTGCATACTGGCATGGGGTACTGGTATGACACCATGAAAATCTGTAAATGTACTGTACATGTACCAAGATAAAATTATTCAATACTCAATTATATCATTTTTTGACTAAAATATGCACAAAACATACCCACCTCAAAGATGCAAAATAATATAATTTAGCACGGGAAAAAGATGAATACATTGTATGGGCATCAGCCCATCTTTGATTTGAGATCCTTTTGCAAAAGCAGGTTCTTTGCATGGGAATACCAAAAGACCAACTAAACAATCTGTTAACTGTAAAATTTGTCATTATTAAAGATTGCAGGTTGTTTTGTTTAACTGTTCAGGTACATGTCTGGACCTGTACCTTACAAATGTAACTCTGTTCCAGTACCTGATGCTACGTTTAGGTATGCAGCCCTAATCTCTAACCCATTTCAAATCTGATTTGAAAACCTGCCAGCAGCCAAATTGAGTTTCCACCATGTTTTGAGGCAGCATTAAAAATACATTTTGTGAAGGAAGTCACACAGACATCTATAATCCACCTAGTTATAAAGACTATCTTTAACTGGCATGTACCATGTATCAACGAAGACTGAAAGTTATGAATATATATGTGGTTGTGCCTTACCTTCAAATTCAACACTGATTTTTTTTGGCTTCATGGAAAATCTAGGTGAAAACCTGTCTATGCTGACTCATAGATCAAAAGAACCAAAAGTACAAATCTTAACAATCTCTGATTTGAACACGAAAAAGGTTTTCACGATTTATTTATAGTCAAATCAGAAGTATAGAGACAAGACACAAGAATGTGTGCCACTAATCTAATCTGCTGTGAGTGCCAGAACCTATCCTGCAGGACAGGGGGAACATATAGGTGTCAACAGTCCTAATGAGTGTGTTTGCTGTGAATATGCAATTAGTAGTCAGATTCAAGAGCTGACCTCTACGGAGATCTATCTAAAAATATGCAAATTGCTAGACTGGAGGCTAGATATAGACTTTCTTTAGACCACTGTGTATAGTGCCTGGACAAACACTTAGATGCAAGAACTCTTTTTGTACAGCCAATCTTCAGTATATTTTCTTTCTTGTAGAATCATTGATGACACCCAGGGTTACACATTAGCCTGGGGTATGTGTTTAAAAGCATCTTCATTTTATCCAGTGTTGTGTAGATGTACAAAATGTACCAGTGGCTGGCTGCAGTGTTACCTTGAGATATCTCTAGCATGTACATTGATGTTTGTTCATTGGAAGTACATGTCACTGTCTAGGTACTAACAGTTATTTTGGCATGCACGAGCACAGGTAAGTAGGGCCATTGGGCCACCACCATTGCCAGTAACAACATTAACACTGTCAGACATTTGAAGCCTACACAACAACACTGGACAGGTGCTTCCTGTCTTTTCACTGGCCTGATGCTGGCAAAAAAGCCAACCATTCATTCACGACAAAAACATTCATGACAAAAGCACCTCAGAGAACAAGCCAATCACTGGTTTACCCTGTTTTGCAGTTTACAAATTTGCCTGATGACCCTTTAGTGATAGCAAATAGAGAAATAGTTGAAAAACATAATCTCCAAGCAGATCTTCCAGCTGAATGTTTTCTCTGACTGCCTTGTTTTCAGATACACTGTCCACAGATATATTTTTGCAGTTAAAATTTTTGCATGTTAATGAATGAACCCTTTCTGTCTCACAACATATTTCGAG